ATTTTTTTTTTTTTGCGCATTCGATCTCACTATCCAAAATATATATTGAATGCATGAAAATATGCATGGTTAGTTTCCTAATTAAATGAAACAAACATAATCAACATAATTCCATGGAAACAAACATAATCAAAGAGCGACAGTGCTGAATTATGGTTTCTTACGTCGTGACTATAAATAAGAGTCACAGACCATCATCATTATCCCATGCTGGTTTGGTTTTGATGCATCAGTTACACGTTTCTCCCCTTTCACCAATCGAAACAGATTGAAAATATTAGTTTGGGGTGACAATGACTCTCCAACAAATCAAACAAAAAATATTGTATAATAAAGAGATTTTAATAATATATGATATGACTTTATCATGTTATTGTCGAGTTGTGTATTACTGTCGTATGTATAATAATAACTCTTTCACAATTTAATATTCTTGGAAAAAATTAAAAACTAGTCCAACAGGTATAGGGGTGGTGACATTTTTGGTCCCACCGGAATCCAGAAAATATTAATAGTTCCACAGCTTTTAAAAATAATCAAAAGTAGGACTTTTTTCATTTTTCCGGCCCGGAAAGCCACGTCGCACACACGTGGCCACATTCATCTGATGTGGATGAGTACAATGCCAAGGTAAAAATCAAAACTAGTCCCACAGGTTTTAGGAGGTGACAATTTTTGGTCCCAACGGTATCCAGAAAATATTAAATAGTCCCGCCACGTGTGTGCGACGTAGGTTTCTGGACCGGAAAATTGGAAAAAAAAAAAATCCTACTTTTGATCATTTTTTTTAAAAGTTAGGGGACTATTAATATTTTCTAGATTCCGTTGGGACAAAAAATTAATGTCACCCTCTTATACCTGTGAGACTAGTTTTGAAATTTTCCCTAATATCCTTCAAATTTTAATATTTCACTTTAAATATATGGTCTCGTACATACCACTGAGTTGCGTCTAGTTTGTGTATATGATAGCAACATATAATATAAAAATATCAACATATAATTTTAAGAAAAAAAAAAAAAAAAGTTATATATAACTGAAAACTTAATCATACATATTGATTTTATTAACATCATATCAGGATTTGTTTTTATTACAACCTAATACGTGTGTTCGAGTTGTTTATCTTGTTTTTATTTATATGTTTGTTTACATCATCACTATAGCTTGATTGTGAATATATTCTGGGATTTTTTTTTTTTTTTCAGAAAAGAGACTCGTGACCATAAATCATTGCGAGACTACTTTTGTCGAACTGAAACGAAGGGTGGCTTTATCAAGTTCAGCCCCCATTGCTCATCTTTCCAATTCTATTATTCCAGTAAAACTATACACATTGATTTCATGTACAAGTGACAAAGACATTTGAGTAAATTAAAACATCTCTAAATGGAATCAATTATGCACACACACACAACACAACACGGACTATCTTTGGTAAAGGTAGCTGATAGCTAATAAGTTATATTATAGCTTATAACTAATTTTCGAGCTTATCGATTATAGCTTATGGATAATAGCTGAAAAGCTAATTTATGTGATAAAAATGTTTGGTAAAACTAGCTGATTAGCTAGCTGAAATAACAATTTCAACTGACTTATTTGAAAAACAACTAAAAAAGCTTATGAGATGAGCTCGAGCATTTTAAAAAAGCTTGTCCAACTAGACGAAATGTATTTAAATACAGGAAGCTTATAAAATAACAAAATAAACATAGCCTACAACTCACAATTCTAAAATGCAATTATAGGAAAATGTTACGGTCCCGTCACGGAACCATTTCGTCGGGATTAATTTGTAACCGTAAGATCGACTATCCACGACGGTTACAATGATTTAACAGTTACAAACCCCGACGAAATGGTAATGTACGGAGACTCTGTCATCTCACGGAATTATAAGTTATCAAATACAAAATAGAAAAGAAAAAAAAAAGGAACAAACCACTCAAATCCATCAAAGAATTACATTTTTGAAATTCTTCTTTGTCATCACCCCTCCAACAAAGCTAAAAACAGTAAAGACCCCGATAAAGAGAAAAAAAAAATTAATAAAAAAAAAAAATTCCACAAATTCTAAAAATAACCAAGTGAAGACAGAAAATGTTATTATTTCTAGTGATATATATTTTTTCCTATTACCGTCCTATATTATTTATTGCACTTCCGTAAAAATTCCATGGTTTAAACGTTGGCGTTGAACTGCGACTCCAAGAACCACGTGTCGTCCACGTTCCAAAAACTCTCGGACGCATCCCCACCGTCCATCCACTGGCTGTTTTGCTCCACGAAATCCAACGTCCCCTGATCGAAATAGCCCGCCGGGCTACTCAACGACGACTGGTAGCAAACATCGCCGGCGCCGACGCCGACGCCGCCCACCACCGGATAGTAATCCTGATTATTACAAATATACCTATTATTATTCTTGTCGTTTTCCTGATTGATCGGATAATTATTGTAACACTCGGTCATGTCGGACGCCGGCGTCCCGAACGAATCCGACGAGGCGGCGGCGCTGGAAATTTCCGGCGTGCAGCTACGGACTCCGGCGGCCGCCGCCTGACCCGGCATCACGACACTCTGATCGGCAAGGCCACCCATGTTATTATTGTTGTTGTAGTTGAATTGGTAAGTGGCCGCCGGAGCCGGGTTTCCGGTGGTGCCGGAAGATGCGGCGGCCTGGATTCTCTCGACGATCCTCGGCATCCAGAGGTAGCGCATGGTGTCCTTGAATTGCTTGCTGTTCACGTCACACTTGAGTTGCTTGGCGTGCTTTTGGACCCGCGTTCGCCAGTAGTTCTTGATCTCGTTGTCTGTCCTTCCAGGCAAATGTTGCGCGATTTTCGACCACCTATAAAATTCCGAAACAAAAAAAAAAAATAAATAAATATATGTGTGTGAGTCGATATAATTTACGACGTACTAGACACGCAATTATCAATCGAATTAGTTAGGAATTTACGTACCGATTGCCCCATCGGGAGTGGAGTTCGAGAATCATGAGCTGTTCTTCGAGAGTGATGTTCCCACGCCGGACGTCCGGGCGGAGATAGTTCAGCCACCGCAACCGGCAGCTTTTTCCGGTTCTCTTTAGACCTACATATACATACACATCAGAGAGGACATTAATGTTATGAATCATCATAGTAGCCAACAACGTGTGAAAAGAGATGGGGCAAAGTAAAAGGGAAAGGAATAAGAAAGGCCTTTTTGAATATTGGTAAAGTTAAAAAGCACATATCACCAAAACATACCTAATATACTACTATAATATAAAGATTCATGAATTTATCCAAACAAATTTATAAAGAGAATTTAAAATTATAGGAAAATGCTACGGTCCCGTTACGGAACAATTTCGTCGGAGTTTGCAACCGTTAGATCATCATGTAACCGTCAGATATAGTTGATTTAACGGTTGCAAACCCCGACGGAATGAATCCGTGACGGGACTATAGCATTTTCCAAAATTATAAAAGAATAATATAAAAATATATCATACCAGAAGAGCGAGCAAGAGAATTCCAGCGGCCTTCACCATGAAGAGATATGTAGTTGATGAGGGTGAAGTCCTCTTCAACAGTCCATGGCCCTCTTCTCAGCTGATCACTACTAACTACTAATACTTCTTCTTCTTCTTCTTCATCTGTATTTGTTGAACTCATGTTTTGGCTGTTGTAATTAAACATAATAATATCTACTTGTTTCTCCATAATTTCCTCTCTCTTTCTGATCTAAGAAAAAATAATAATAATTGGAAATGAAGTGATTGATTGAAACAATAAGAAAAGTTGTTGATATTTTTGTGGTAGAGAG